CTCAGGCAAGCTGCCCCGCCGGCCCACACCGAGCGCCTCGCGGCCCTCGGGCTGGGCGTGCCCTTGGCAGCACCGTCACCAGCCAACTCCACCCGGTCTCTGGCGGGCGCTCACTGGGGGCCGTGGGGGCTTTTTGCTGAGGACCAGCATGAGGGAAATGAAGGGACTGGGCTCCTTGCTGTGGGAACATTCGGAAAGGCGTCATGGTTGCAACGCCTTGCCAGCAGAAATGCCGAAGAGCAGGAGCAGCCAGGCGGAGAGCAGGCAGAGACGCCGGCCCGGGCGCAGCCGGGGTGGGTGAGGCCACATCTGTGGCCCGGATGCTTCGGCCGGGAGCTGACGCCGAGACTTGGCAGAGGCGCACAAAGAGCCGAGGGAGGGCTGAGCCGTCCCACCTCGCATTCGGCTCCCCCCATGGCCAACCAGGTGCCCCACACAGACGCCCACAACCAGGACCGGAGCGCAACCTCGCAGCCTCCTGCACACACTCGCCTCGCGCACGAGAGGCTACGCGCACCACGCACGAGCTGCGTTGCCTTCTGTCCCACGAGCCGGCCGAACTCCCTTCTAAAGCACGCAGGGGCAGAGAAAGGGGCCCCCTCGTCCGCAACAGTGGAGCCCAAAGGGACTGCTGGGACACAGGATGGGCGCTTTTGCATGGTGCGCGCCCTGGAACCGGGTGCAGTGGCGGACGCACGCTGGCCTAGCAGTGGCTGAGCAGTAAGCTGCACACTGGGCAGATTCACGGCGGGAAACGAGGCTACGGGGGCTACTGGTCCCGATGGCTGTGAGGACCCCGGCAGCAGGGGCGGCATGCCTGTGCCCTCCGGCCTCTGGAGACCACGCTGTGCCACTGCCCCACCTCCTGCCTTCCCGGAAGCTGCAGCCGGCTGCGGTGGGAAGGGAGTGCTAGGCTCGGGAGGCCCTTGGTCTGACCCAGCACAGCCCTGCGCCCACATTTTAAGGCTGTCCAGGATACGGTGCGCCTGACCCACAGCCTCTGGGTCTAAGTGATTTGGATATGGAAGGGGCTGCCGTGGGAGGCGGCGGGGGGCCCCTCACGGAGGGCGTTCCAGGAAAGATTGGGCAGCCGCACGTTCAGGATTACGCTGAGCAGCGCTGACTGAGGCCGGGGGTCAGACTAGATGGCCGGGAGACCCTCTGACTTGCCCTGTTCCTATGATGCTCCCCCCTGCAGCCACCCGTTTGCGATCTTCTCCACAAAGTCTTAAGTACCCGTGAGCAAAGCAGCATCGCAGGGGGTGCCTGGACCGGTGCCCATGCTTACACCTGTGCGGGCCCTGGGCAAGGGGAGGCCAGAAGCCAGGCAGAGTTGCCCGGGAGGCCGATGCAGCAAGCAGGCAGAGGGAGCGCGGCCGGGGCGGGAGGAGGGGATGTCAGTTTCAGGCATCTGCTCAGATCAGCCGCACCTTGGTGCAGCCACGAGCCTCAAGCAAGCCGCTCAGGTGGCAACGGCAGGCTGGGGGGGCAGCTGGGCTCCACGGCGCAAGCCCGGAGGTGAAAAGCCTCGGCAGACACACCTTCGGGACCAGGACCACCCGGCCACGACATCTAGCCTGATCAGGAGAGGTGAGACGCCCAGTCTGCGCTTTGCTTCCGGGGGCAAGGAGGACGAGGTCCCCCTGGGCCTCCTCCGCCACCCCCCATGGCCAGCCCACTTTGGCAGGTCCGTCCGCTTCTCCACCACTCCCTGCCTGCTCCCAAAGTTTCTGGGGGCACCGGCCAGGCCTCCCTGGGGAAGAGCGGGGTGAGACACCCGCTCCTGTTTGCTCTAATGCCAGGCCCCAATTGCCCGCCCCACTGGGAAGGGTCGGGCCCCTGCATCCAGCCAGCCCCCCTCCCCCAGCTCCCACAGCTTGCTCCAGGGCACCTCTGACGCCTGCTGGAGACTGGCCTGGGGGCCTGCCCTCACGGCACCCTCCTGGCCGCCACATGGAGGACTGCTCAGAGCCCAGCGTGGGCCAAGGCCGGGCACACGGCTCTTCAGAATCGCCCAGGCTGAGCAAGGTAAGGGGCACTCCGGGAGGAGAAAGCCGTGGGGCCTGCAAACCCCTGGCCGGGAGAGGAGGAGGAGCAGATCGGCTCCCAGAGCAGTGGGGGCAGCCGGGTTTCCCCGCAGGAGGATAAGCACCTGGCCCCTCCGCCAGGGTCCCTGGTTGCTTGCAGGGAGGGCGGGGGGGGCAGGGGGCTTCTGGCAGAGGCGAGCCCTTGCCAATGGCTCCTGGGATGCCTCGGGGTGTGCACTGCCTGTGCATGCTGAGCAACGGATGCAGGCCGCTTTCTGCGTGCCTGCAGTGCTCTCCAGGCAACGGGGGCTGGCAGCCTGTCTGGGGGTGCAGCTCAGAATCACAGAGACCTCCTACTTTCCCGTCCGTCCCCCACCGACTCTCCTTGAGACGCTGGACGTGGCTGATTTGCCCCCAAGCTCTCCCCCAGCCAGGTCCGTGTGTGCCTCGCAACGGGATCCAGCCGCCCACCCTGGAGTCCAGGACGACCTCTTTGCCAGCGCCCTGCCGGGCCAGACCCGAAACACCACCTGGTCAAGCACTGACAGTCGGAGGCAGCTTGTCTCTGAAAAGCAGGGAGGGTGTGCAGAGAGCGGCCAGCCTCCAGGGGTACTAACACCCGAGGAACGCTGCCCCGGGGCGTGGAGGTGCTGCCTGGACACCCTGGTCTGGCCCTGCCCCAAAGGCCTCCTCCGACGGATCCTGCCCTGCTACGACCCTTGTCCGCCCGGGATGCCGTTTCCTGACGGCGGCAGCCAGACGCTTGTGGAGGCCTGAGCTGGGAATCCAGAACAGCCCCAGGCACGCTGCGGGGGGGGGGGGGGGGGGGGGGGGCCGGGCGGGGGCGCCCCCCGCCCGGGGGGGGGGGGGGGGGGGCAGGGTGGCCCGTGGCCAGGAGCTGCCAGCCAGCCGCCCTGCTCAGGGGCATGCGTCTGTCCCTGCTGCTTCAGCCACCTCTGGGTGGCACCCCCAGCCAAACAAGGGCATCTAAGCCTGCAGTGCTGACAAGGGGAGGGGAGGGGAGGGGAGGCTATCGTGGCTTCCGAAGCAGCAGACCCTGCTCTGGGTGGACCAGGGGCCTGGCATCCATGCCCAGGGCATTTCCCCACTCTGCCCCTTCCAGAGGAGACACGGGGCGCCAGACTCGGGGACCCAAACCGTCCTGGGCAGGACAGCCACCTCCTGTGGGAGCCAAGAGGTCCAGCCCCCCCAGGGAAGTCGCACAGCTGCCTGGGCCCCTGGACAAACTAAGGCAGCCCCTGCGGGGGGGGGGGGAGCGGGTCAAGCGCCTGCCCTGCAGCCCCCACAGCACCCCTGCCCCCCCCAGCTCCCACTTGCACACCACCTGCAGCAAGCACTGGCCAAGCACGGCTGCTCCTGCACCCAGAGGGGAGGGGTGGGAGGGGGCAAGGGCAGGCGCGGCAGAGGCAGACCGTGGCCTCCCGTGGCGCCCGCCCCATATGGCCTGGCTGCTGGCAGGCGGTGGGCAAAGCCCGGGGAGAGCTGCTGTGCCGGGGATGCGCTCAAGGGGGGGGCATACATGGAGAGCCTTGGAGCGCTGCGCCCCCAGTCCCATGCTGGAGCCGTCTCTGCCCGCCCCCGCCCAGGGAACCGCTGACCTCTGCCTGGGGATGGGAGCGCTTCCAGAGAAGGGGGCTGCGTCAAGGTCACCGCCAGCAAGCACAAGTCGCCGCGTCCCCGGGCGACCCCCGAGCCCCAGTGATCCTCAGCCCCAGGCGCGGAGGGCTCGCCGCCCCGAGAGCGGGAACGGGGCGCCCTGCGGAGGGGGGCTCTGGGGTGGGGCTCTGTCCGCCCCGGCCACCTCCTTGCATGGGGGAGGAACCGGCAAGAATGGGCTCAGAGCCAGCTGGGCACCTGCTCCCCCACACGACAGAGTCCCGGGGCCGCCTCACACCACTCGCCTGGCGCCCTCGGCGGCCCCTCTGCAGCCTCCGGCCGGCGTGGGGCACCGGGCAGCCCGCCCCCTGCGAATGCGCGCCAGGCCGGCCGCAGCTCCAGAAGGAGCGCTCGGCGCGGAGGGCGGGTGGCAGCGCCCCCCCAGGGCCCCTGCCCAGAGAGCCCCCCGCGGCGCAGCGGCTTGCCCGCCCGCCCGCCCGCCGGCCGGCCGGCCCGAGGAAGGGAGCCCGGCAAAGCGCCGCACTGAGCCGCCCGCCCGCCCGCCCGCCTGCCGGCCGGCTGGCTGGCTGCCGCCTTCCCCATTAACCCCCGGAGGGGAGCGAGGGGGCGGCGGCGCTCAGACCAGCGCGGGGGCCGCATCACGCCGCTCGCGCTGCCCGAGAACACGATGCGTCAGCGGCAGCGGCGGCGGCGGCGGCGGCGGCACATCCCCGTTTTCACTGAAGGACAAAAGGATGCGAGAGCAGCCCGGGCGGCTGCTGCCTGCGCCAGCCCCACCGGGCGAGAGGAGGCCCGCCGCCGCCGCCGCCGCTAGCCCGGCCGGCGCCCCCGGAAGATGGTCCCGGGCTGCTCCGCTGCTGCCGCCGCCGCCGCCGCTGCCGCCGCCGCCCCCGCTCGCCCTCCGCCTCCTGCCGCCGCCGCCGCCGCCGCAGTCGACGGACGACCAACGCTTCGCTGAAGGCGGCGGCAGCAGGCGCGGCGGGCCGGTGCCGCCG